AATTAATTTTCCTTTCAAAAGATGTATCACATCATACCGCATTCCGTTTGGTGGATTCTGCTCCCGCTACAAAGTAAAAAAAATATTTGTTAATTTTAACCAAATAATAACCAGATTTTATGTTAATCCAGGTCCCCATAACTTTTTGTTAAGTTTACAACCAACTGTAATCTGTTAACTAATTGAATAAGTACTTTGTAATTATTACAGACATTTTTTAGATTTAACAAAATTCCATTTCAATTTCAACCATAATTCTTGTATTTTTTACAAACTTTTATGAAGACTCAGTATCAAAAGTGTTTGTTGTAAATTGGGAACATTGAAAAAGAGAATTTGTTATAAGAAATGATGCTTTATTAAATGACTTTCTAAATAAAACAAAATTAACACATACCTACATAAATGAACACAAAAATAACATACACACAATTCTGAAATTATAAAATTATGAAGAAATTTGGTACAATATAACTATCAGTACTACTAAAACACTTACTGATGTACTATTACCCACTTCACTGTATTGTCTAATTTTAATTTTAAAACCAGTAATGACATTATAAACATTCCTGTCACCGTTGAATATTAAACACCCGTTGACGCTGACACAACTTGTTGATAAGTGTGTTGTGCTGGGAAATGTTTTGATTGGCTGCCTGAAATCACGTGTACTTTTTCAACGGAATAATTTTTAAACATTAACAAAATAATCTATAACCTTTGATATTAACAAAATGCTTACAAAATTGCATATTACCTTTACAAAACTTTTTGTAAAAATTTTACAAAATAAAATTAACAAATCTTATTTTTATAACAGTGTAAGGGGTTAAAGTTACAGTAATAAAATTAATGTGTAAATATGTCCCCCTAAAAACAAAAGTATACAGGTCCAAAGATTTTTTTTATTTTCACATACAAAGCCGTAAACCTTGCTTGGCTGTTTTCGATGGGCCAATCTGTATGTATTTTTAATAATTTGCTTGATTTTGCTACACCAAATTTACGAATGATTAGTAGTTTGTGAGATAATTGAGAAAAACTATTTTTCGTCACCTTTAACCTTGGATATTTGGCAACGTCGCGGCATTAAAGGCTTGGTACTTTTGAGACATTATTACTGCTCATATAAACAATATTTCGAAGAAAAATCTTACCTGCGGTTCTTTCCGAAGTAAAGCTCCAATTTAACTTTTGCCAGATAGACTTTTTGTAAAAATTTTACAAAATAAAATTAACAAATCTTATTTTTATAACAGTGTAAGGGGTTAAAGTTACAGTAATAAAATTAATGTGTAAATATGTCCCCCTAAAAACAAAAGTATACAGGTCCGAAGATTTTTTTTATTTTCACATACAAAGCCGTAAACCTTGCTTGGCTGTTTTCGATGGACCACCTTGTATATTAATTTCAAAAGTTCATAGTCTTTTACTAAAAAATGTTTCTTGGATGAATAGAATTTGTTGTAGATAATTTAATAATCTTTAAGGTTTTTAAATTCACTTTTGTGAAATTTTTGAATATGAGTAAAATATTAAAAATAAAGTTGTGGTTTCTCTGGAGCTACATAATCAGTTTAGTCTACCAGAGCGAAGTTGACACATTAGAACAACTCCGCGAACTTGTCACTGCAGCGGCATATGAAATCCTAAATCGTCCGGATATGATAGCAAGAGCGACACATCATAATTTTCTTCGCCGCTGTCAACTTTGTGTGGATAATAACGGCGGGATAGTTGAACATTTATTATAATTTTGTGGAACACTAAAAAAGCATCAATCGAAGTAAAAAGTGAAAGTTGAAACTTAAAAATCACGGGAAAACCACAGAAACAATAAAAAGTAGGTGTTCAAAGTACCTAAAAATAGGTGAGTATGCAAACCAAAAAACAATTATAAACAAAGTAATCAATGATAATACAAATATAAATTTTTAATGAATATAGATTATTGCCCACTGTGAAAGCATATTTTGCGGCATTTGTCATAGGTCAGGAACAACCAGTGGCGGCCCAAAATTTTTACTTTACTTTTTACAAATTTTAATGATACTAATGCAAAAATTATAGAGGAAAAACTTTCTTATTTTGGCGTGTACTATCATCCCCTTAAAGGATAACAACTTATTTGGTGACACCCTGTATGTATAACATTTTTTTAACTTCGTAAAATCCGTATAAATATTGTCAAGACCAGAGTTGCAAAAAACGCATTTTTTAATGCAATGATAGATCATTGCTCATTTTGTTTAATGAAGAATTACTTGTACATTTCTCATTTCCAATTTTTAATGGGTAATGTAAGGATTTACATTAGATTTTTTTTAATGAGTAACGTGGAAATATTATATTACTAATTTTTTTTGTTTTAATGGGAAAAAATGAGTATTTCATTGCACATTTTTAACGTACATTTAACATTTTTTATTTATTTTTCGCAAGATTTGCATTGGATATCATAATAATATACGAAATATTTGAATCAAAAATAGGTTGTAGTTATGGAAGAAGAGAAATATTTATTCTAAAGCAGTTAGATAGGGTTTTGTGCCAAAGCTAAACCAAGCACGTATTTGTAATCTACGACCAAAAATTAAGTTTACGTGTCCGAGCGTTTAGCTGTGATATTTTCACCTCCCTACAGTGTTATTATTTGAATAACAATCAAAAAGTCGCAGTACACTGTAAAAAAAATTGTGGAGTAAATGCGGAGTGGATTATTTTCAATTGATTCACTCTAACCAGGATTAAAATATACTCCGAGAAGGATTTATTCGATATTATTAATAGAATTCACTCCGCAGAGTGAATTATTACACAGAAAAAACACTAGCATAGCATGAATGGGTGAGCCATTAAACCAATGGGATCTTGTAATCCGTATTCCTGAATAACAGTTCCTCTAATACCAATAGATTGTTACCACTTGGTTTTTAATCGTTTACTGTTTTTAAATTAATAACAAAAGTTATCGCTCCTAAATCTATTAATATTCATATTGATATTTATTTGTTAGAATGTTAGAATGTTATTGCATTAAATACTAATTTGATTTATTTAATAACGTTACTATTGTAAGTATACTATGTATACATTTAACTTAATAAAATCCTTGACATTTAGGCAAAATATTTCCCTATTTTGGTTTAATAGTAATTAATTGAGCAAATAACAATTTAGATTGCTTCAATTTTAATGCATTCAATGACAGCGCTGTTCTTGGTACTATGTTAGAAATTTTCTGTGTAGTTATTGAATAAAAATAAAAAATATTTGTTAATCATTTAAAAATTATAAAATGTATATTTAGAGATTTTTTTAATTGAATTTGACATAATTTTTTTGAATTTTTTGTCATAATTCGAATTTTTATGAAAAAATGAATTTTTTTCAATTTGACTTTTTTTATTATTTGAAAATTTAAATTTTTTTTATTCGATTTTTTTGAAAATTTTAATCATTTTAAAAACTTGAATTTTTTTGAAAATTTTAATTATTTTGGAAAATTAGAATTTTATTTGAATTTTGAAAAATTATCAAAATTTGAATTTTTTCATATCGACAAAAAAATTTTTTCCAAAATTTAATTTTTTTATGCTGACAAAAATAATTAATGGGTCATTACCGATTACATATTTTTATGTACTGTTTAAAATATCTGTGGTGTAAAGAGTAATCTTAAAATGGTGTCAAAATCCAACACCAAGTGGTGTTAATATAACACCATGAATTATGGTTGAAAATGTTATATACAGCACACCAAAACGGTGTTTATCTAAAAATATTTGAGAAGTGCACCTACACAGAAAAAAAGGAATATTTCATTTAACTATATTAATTTAGTTGACCCATAAGTATTTATTTTTTTATTTTTTTATCAACTGTGGGAAGGTTAATAAAAACAAAGAATAGTCTGACGGTACTAAACCAGATAGTTATTTTTTTTTAATTGATTAAATTAACCCAGAAAACTTTATTGAAACCAACCCGCTGTATGGTTCAGTTTACTAAATTTGTTGTTTGTAAAATAAGGGTTACTTCAACCTAAAGCACTCTGTTAAAACGATTAAAACAATTTGCCGTGCATTCCCGGTTGCATAGAGTGTACCGATCGCGGCAAAGGCGGTGTGGATCACGTGATGTTCTTAAATCTCGCCTCTGTTGACTTACATGAAGAGTATATAAGCTTAGGTAGTCCTTTGATTTGGTGTGACACTACAAGTTGTTCGATACTAAAGAGACCTGAAATAGGTGGAAACAGCTGTCAATACTTGAAGTATTTTAAGTTAGTGGAACGAACTAAAAACATTATCTCTAGCGAGTTGAAGGTTCAATTTTCTGGAATAAAACTACCACTGGTAAAATACTAGTAATGCGTCAAGGAACTTCCTGTTTCCTTTTTTTCCTATAAAAAAAAAATGACGAATGCATTATTTTTACATTGGGATTTTTGCAACACTTCACTCAAGACCCACCCAGTTGTTGTGTAGGCTTACCTTTGTGCATAAATAAATGAATAAATTAAAAAAGTCGTCTAGAATGCACTCTCTGTTTGTTTTCATCGGAGGCTCCCGATTGGAGCTGTGTGACTCGGGCTTCTATTGGCTTTTCTGGGGGAGCTTTCCATTAACGCACATCAGTTCGGCACAGTCAGTCAGTCCACACGGATGCGTCGCACGGCGTCGAATTTGGACGCTCCACGCTACGTCGCCGCCTTCGTAAACAACTTTTCGAAATTATTTTAACTCGCTGTGATCGACTACCCTTAAGCTCAACACTCATTGTAAATACTTAAATAATTTTTAACTAAGCTCTAATTGAGTTTATCGTAAATCTGTGTCTTAAATGTTATAAATGTTAGTGATAGCTTAAATGTATTTTTGTAAAGATATAATAAAATCCATAGTGACGAAAGCAATAAAACTAGTTTTCTAAAGTAAAGTTCGCCAAGTTTGACAATAACAGATAATGCGAAGTTGAGATAGTAAACAAGAAACATGTCAACGTCCGAAACTCAGACTACCAGTACGTCGTTGGCGGAGAAACCGGATAAATCGGTTGTACCGGTTAAAAAAGTTGAAGACAAGGCCTCCAAAAGTCCAAAGAGTCCGAAAGCTGCGACTGGCAATCGAGTTAAAATTAACGCTCCTTATGCCTATGTAGAGGTAAATTGGTGTTATAGTTTATAGTATAGGTGTTATACCCATGTCTTAATTTAAAGTAGAAATTGTTAAAAGAATAAATAAAATAAATTATTTAGCTTTTAATACAGGTTTTTAAAGCTTCGAGCTTCGCTCATGTGGTTACATTTGTAAACCAAATTTTATTCAGACACTTTCGCATGAATAATATTTGTAAATATTATATTATAAATAAACGAATAATAAATCTTGGCAGTGACGTAAAATGTGTAATTTTATACACTTTTTTAAGTTTACTTTTTAAATATATTACTTTTTAAATATATTAATTGAGAAAATGTTAATGTATATATACTTTTCGAGTAAATTTCACAAAAAATTTAAAATAACACACTAAAAATCGTATACGGTATTAATCTCCTCTTAATTTATAGCTACAAATTAATAATATATTTTATCTCCACGAGGTCTATAATTTAAACTTTATTGTTGTCAACATTCGATAAAGAAATACCTTGTTATGGCCTAGGCCGATAAAAAATTTTATGAGGCAAGTAATTTGTTCGAATTTTTCTCGCTAGGGGTATTGTTTTGACAAATTAATCCTTTTCTAAGAAATTAACGTACCAAACTGGTTTAATTTATTTATAATAAGCACTAATTTGTTTGTTTTACTGTTAATGTATAATATTTTTTATTAAATTATTGTAAAGTTAAATATGAATAATAAAACAAAAAGTGAGGTTAGGCAACCAAGAAAACGCACGATTCTTTTTCTACGATTTAAATTATCTTTAAGTTTTAATTTGCTTTAAGTTTTCAGTGAAATTAAATGTTAAACACAGCTTAAACATTCCAAACTACCTATTTTTTAAATAAAAATCCAAACAAATTGAAATTAGATACCTACCTATTTATTAAACAATTAATTGAATTCAATGTAATAGCAAAAATCAATTTTTACTTAAATCATGTAGCTAGTTATTGTCAAACTATTACTGCTTCTAAAAGCAATAATAATTATTGTACATTATGTAATCTTTGGCTAATAAATAAATGAGATTCTAAAAAAGTGAGGTTAGGCCGCTTTGATGTTGAATTAAATTGACCTATATAAAGTGCTTTGAAGATAAAATTTTGTATGCCATTCGGCCAAGAAGTGCCTTTTTGTGCTTACGCGTCGGCCTTTAAACCTTGAGCCTAGCACAAAAAGCCTTACTTCTTAACCTAATGACATAAATAACTATTTTATTAATTTTATAAAATTATGTTTTTTATAGCTTAAGTTTCAACATTTTAATTAAAGAATAATATTTTTTCTCATTTCTCCTTTAAAACGTACACATGATAAGCTTTGACTTATGGTGTTTTAGTCACGGGCTAAAGTTGGCTATAAGTATTTATAATCGTTAAAATAAATTATCCTTCTGGTGAAATAATACTAAATGTGGAAATTATTTTATTATCTTAACACAAAAATACAAAATTATTAAATAGTTTCTTGACCTTTTTATTTTACCAGCAGTAAACTAGTATTTGACATAAAACCTCTTCACTTTCAATGTAAAAAAATCTTTTATATCGGATTTAAAGGGTTGTCCATTTTTAATGGAAAAATATCGATTTAAAAAGCCGTTAAAACAAATTCCTGAGACCAATTTGGGTACTCTATTTTTGTATAGATTGTTTTTATACAAAAATTTAAATATATTAGTAAAACAAAATATTTTATAATATTATTTGTCGTAGAAGAAGTATAGCATGCAACTCGTTTATAAACTTTTCAAGGCAATTAAACACTCGCTCGCAAGCTTCGCTGGTACATAATTAAAATTCTTGACTTAAATGGCGTTAAATAAAGATAATACCTACTCTAATCCAATGTGGACTATTTTTCTAAATTATTTTAAACAAAATTCAACTTCTGGTATATTTTTACATTTTTAAATTCGACATAAAATTCTGTGTTACATTGCTAAACCATTTTTCTATACCTACAATCAGTATTTTTCTAGAAATATTTTTTTTATTCAAATTTTTAATCTTAAAAATCCTTTACTTTTTTAAAATTCCTCAAAAATTAGTTGAGAAAACCAGGGCAAATTAGGCTAACTAAAACCGTTAATAACTTTTTATTTTCAATGTTACAAACTGTATTTTTACATAACCAAATAGAAAATTTAAAAACCCTTCGATTGATGTAACTCGCGAGTGATATTTTTTAAGTCGATAAGGAACCTTTTAAAATTGGAATACCTGGATTCTAACCGGTGCACCGGTGTAACCATTCCCTATACCCAAAGTTAATAATTTCAGAGTCAGAGGTATATAACAATTTATAATATAAATATACACTTCGCGTGAAATTTAACGCACCACTAAAAATTTGCCACAAGTTTAAAGTTGATTTTCTCGCGAACCGTCAAACCGAATTTGGTAGTTTTTGTTTTAAATTGTAGGTTTATTCTTTGGTTATGAAGCCTTTATTTAAATATTTTTTCAAATTTACTTTTTGAGTATATACAGGGTGCAAGAGTAATAATAAGTTTTTCCATGTAAATTTGAAACGCCCTGTGGGTTGTACCAGCTATAACAGCACATGTCTCTTACAATCAAACTTTAGCCCCATCTTCTCTTAACATTTTGTTTTTTAAATTCACCGCGTTATCTTTATTTAAAAAAAATATATACAGTTAAATATTAAATAACTCCAGTTTAATCAAAAAATGTAAAAATAACGATTGTAACAATAACAATAAAAATATGAACAAAATCAATAAAACCAACATTAAAGAATATCAATATCGCGTATTTTCGCCTCTACTTCTAATTACGGCTTCACATCGACGGCTCATTCTCAAACCAGATGTCTAATCTTGCCTTGATCAATGACATTCCATATTTCTCGTAGCATATTTGCTACATCAAGGGAGGCAGGCAAGGGATCATAATTTTTTAGTCGTCTACCCATATTATCCCAAAAATGCTAAATGGTGTTGAGACCCGGACTATTTGCAGGCCAGTCTAAAGTTTCAACACCCACCTCATGTAAGTGCTCTTGCACTATATGGACGGTGTGAGGTCTTGCGTTATCCTGCATCAGTAAAAAATTATTACCGATGTAGGTACGGGGCGAAAGGGACAACATGCTCAGATAAAATGTCCTCGGTATATCGTACACTATTCATGGTACCTCCACGAACAATGACGAGTTCTGTGGGAGCTGTCAAGGAAATTCCTTCCCAAACCATTACAGAACCACCATTAAATAGCGTGGTTTTACGAATGTTACACTGAGAAAATCTCTCATTTGGACGTCGGAGAACCTTTACTCGCCGATCAGAGCTGAATAAACAAAACCTGGACTCGTCTGTAAATAGTACATGCTGCCAATTCTCAACATTTCAGCCAACATGTTGTCTGGCAAATTGCAGTCTTGCTCTACGATGATTTTCATTTAACTTCGGTCCTGTTGCTGGAACTCTGAAGCTCAAGTTCTGTTCCGCAAGACGTCTTCTTACGGTGGACACACTTGTTTGAAAATTATGAGTAGTATTAAGTTGTACCTGTAGATTTCTTGCTGTTAAAAATCGTTCTTTTCAAAGTATGCAAATAAAGGAAACGATCATGTACGGATTGTCATTCGATGCCTTCCCTGCCCCTATATATATATATATATATATATATATATATATATATATATATTTATATCAAAGTTATTTTATTATTTTATTACATTTATTTATTTAATTAATTTTAAATAAATAATTCCATATGTATATATTCTCTTTTGTCCACTTTTTATGTTATAAAATATCAAAGAGTTTTATATTTATCCATAAAATCATTAATATTACAAAGAAAATTTTTCATTGTACTTTTATAGCATTTATATAAAAATGTTTTATGAATATTAAAAACTGCTTAACGTTATGTCGAATTTGCAAAAACAAAGAAAGAAAGAAGGAAAAATATTTTTATGTCGTCTAAGATGATCAAAACCATTAATCTAAAAGCTTTTCTTGAAAACTGACACAGGGATTTTTCTGGATTTCAGAAGTATAAACATTAGCAAGAAGCATAAAGAGAGTTTATTAAATATTTAATGCTACGATAATTAATATAAAGTGCGAAACAATGCCAAATGTAAATTTTATTGACAAAATTGTTAAATTTGTTGATGGTTTTAAATGTCAAAGGGTCCCAATGTATTGCAGCCATTTTCCTGTCAGTACTTCTGAATTAATTACTTTTAATACTCGTTATGCAGTTTGTAGCGTTAATTATTTCACCACTGCAAATAAATAACCAACCTCACGTTAAAAATATTTATCTTCTTCTAAATTGACGAGCTGTGACTTTATGGCGTTTTAGTCACGGGCTTTATTTTAAATTAGGAAAGAGGTAAAATTCGGGTGACAGATGACAGATGTCAACATTTTTAATAAATAAAATTGTTCGTCATAGATAAAGTATAATATTTAATGGGGTAGTTAAATTTTTTCTGTCCTATACTTTTTATGGTTTTATTCAAGGCGTTTTGTAATATTAAACATTTCTGTGAAATCAGAATTTCAATTAAGTTTACCGTTTTCGAGATATTTACATGGTCAAAAAGTTTATAATTTATTTTAATGATAATAATATAACTAATTATTTATTTAATCCAAAGACAACAACACAGTGTATGGAACAGATCAGAAAGTAAAAAATGCTACAAATTTGTTTAATAATGTTGTTTAATAATAATGTATCAAGTTTTATAAAGGCCAGTTTAGTAACGATTTTTATTAGGCACGAGCGAAGCTTTCGAGCGAGTGTTTATTAAAAACGAGTGTCCAGAGAAAATTATTAAAGAAGTTGCATACTATACTTTATCTATGACGAACAAAAATTTGAAGCCAATTTTTATTTATAAATATTTGACATTTTACGAATTTAACCTCACTTTTTCGCAATTTATAATAAAGCCAACTTCAGTCCGTGACTAAAATTCTCAAAAGCCACTGTTGTTAACTTCAGCC